GATACCAATATGAATGATAACAATGACGATATTAATGATACCAATATGAATGATAACAATGACGATATTAATGATACCAATATGAATGATAACAATGACGATATTAATGATACCAATATGAATGATAACAATGACGATATTAATGATATCTATATGAATGATAACAATAGTAATATTGATGACACTTATATGTTTCATTATAAAAAAATTTTTTTTTCCAAATAATATTAATGATATTCTTAGGGATACTTATATTCTGTTATAATTTTATCCAATAAATGTAGAACTTTTTCCTTTTTTTTTCTTTTATAAAATGATTTGTTTGATTGGAATATTATACTTTTCAAATTTTACCTATCAGATTTCAAGATTGTAACACCAAATCATTGGAGTTATTCAGTAACATAAACTTTGGTACATCAAATTTTAAACAAGATAAAAAAAATTGATGATTAAATCAAACGATATTATTATCAATTGATAATATTAGTTAATGCACCTATCATTGTTCATTGCATTATCATTTACCAAATGATTTAATGTAGGGAATTCGTTTTTCTGGCCATCTTCCCGGAATATCCGGGATTTTTTCCTGGTCTTATTTCCGTGATATCCAATTGTACAGATGGAATAAACAGGTTAGAAAAAAGAAATTGAAGAGAATAGAAAAGAGGAATTATCATTACTCTAATATTTTCTTTCTTTTTGAATTAAATTAAATTTCAAGTGGATTCGAAATAGTAAATTGATTTCTTTAATAAAAAAAAAGCCAAAATTCGAGCCTGAATAAATTAAAAGTAAGTAAAGAGCCAAAATTCGAGTCTGATTAAATAAAAGTAAAGAGCCAAAATTCGAGTCTGAATAAATAAAAGAGCCAAAATTCGAGTCTGAATAAGTAAAAGTAAGTAAAGTAATTTGTTTTTTTAATTCAACTGTGAGAAAGCTTAATAAGTCGTATACTTGTCATGTACTTGTCGAAGTAAATATCATAGGTTATCTCAAAGTAAGCGACATAAGTTATAATAGTTAAGTTATACTTCCCAAAGTAAGTGCTATAGGTTATGCCAAGGTAAATGTCGTAGGTTGTTTATGAAAGCAATCAAATATTTTGATCAAAAATTTCAAAACTTCATTAAATAATTTCTAAATTTTAAAATAGATTGTTACCAGTCCTATATGATGATTCTTCCTTTTTCTGCTTTTTTTTTCCTTTTTTTATTGATAAATAGAGTAGGATTTAATTTAAAATTTAGTTTTTACTCAAATATATACTTAAATATTTTACTTATTTACTTAAATACATCTGTTTATTTTAATGTTATTTTGTAACTGTAATTTTAACCATTTGCAATTGCAATTTTATGGAAGTTTAAATCATTGAAGCGTTAGCTTTAGTACTTTCATATATTTATGTTCAGTTTGGAAGTGGGAAAAACTAAATGAGCAGAAAAGAATGGGAAAAATTTGCTGATAACTGCCGATAAAACTTGCAGATAAACTTGCACTGATAATTTGCTTTAATTAATTAATTAATACATAAATTTATGGTTAAACTTTTGCAAACGCCAAATACTCTTCCATATTTTGAATGTTATTTCATTTCATTTCATTAAATATGTACAATATTTTAATTCATATTAATTTATCAATTTTTCTCATTTAACATTTACTTAATCTATCCATTTTTTATGTCATTCTTCTACAAGAGGATCATAAAAAATGTTCAATGGAATTTATGTTTGAGATGAAATTTTAATTTTAATCTTTATCAATCATTTAGAAATATGCTCAAAACTAGTAGCTCTTCTTTTTTTTTTTTCCTGATCTAACCTAAAACTTTTATTCTTATTTAATTTAAACCAATTCATATATTAATGAAAATTTATCACAAATAAAGTTTATAATTTTATATTTAATTTGGAAAAAGTTTATTAAATTAATTCAAATATGTTGCTTAAGAAATAATATGAGAAAATATGTCAGCAAAAAATTTGATAGATAAAAAGAAATAATTACATGTTAATGTTTGATATAAAATTTTGAATTGATACAGAACTTTAGACTAATATCGAACTTTGATTCCCTTTTTTTTTTTTTTCTTATCATTATCATCATCCATCATTTATATCATCGCCGTTATCATGATCATGATCATGATCATTTGTTATCTTGAACTTAAATTGATAATTTGAAGTTTATTAAAATTTAGACTAATAATTTCCGTTAATGAATTTTAAATAATCAAATCACAGGATGTAACGCGGCCCTTAGCGTAGCAAGTAATATGAGAAGATCAATGGCGGGTAAAATATACCTTTCAATAAACTCAAGAGGTCATCGTTATTGATGTGCTAAAACGATGGAAAACCTTCCTGAAGAGAGAGAGAGAGAGAGAGAGAGGAGAGAGAAGAAGANAGAGAGAGAGA